ATGGCCAAAGTTGAAGCTCGCATTGGCAAGTCATAAATTGACTTGTGCGAGTCATGCTCTGGTCCACACAAGATTGATAACTATCCCGGGTTTATGGAGTCATCTCAATTTGTTCGTCGGAACAATGCAAGTGGTTTCAATCCTTACAAAAACTGGAGAGGGAATGGCTTAAAAGAAATTGATGTCGTGGAGCTAAAGACGATGATAAAGTCTCTGCAAGCCAGCCAACGCCAAATGGAGGCAAGGTTGAGTCAGAACGAGAAACTATGTGCAGAACATTTGGCAGGAAGTTTGCCAAGTGATACGGTGGAATATCCTACGCCAGTTCAGCAAGAACAAGCCAAGGTTGTATCACTTCGCAGCAGGAAGAAACTCACTCCCACAAGTGAGGTTCTCATTCCAGCACCTGCTGCTGTACCTGAGAAAGCTGAAGATGTTATTGACCTTACTATGGAGAGAGAAGATGTAGTGGATTTAAAGGGGCATTCCATAACAGAACCTGGCTTGACAGGGGAGGCTCAATCTCCATCTCCCCCGGATCAGCTTGAAGTACCAATACCCCCTTATCCACCCAGACAAGTCAGGAAGAAGACTTCGGAAGCAGCTATCAATAGATTCATGAGTAATCTGGAGAGCTTACACATCAACATCCATTGATCAATGCTCTGAAGCAAATGCCAAAGTATTTCAAGCACCTGAAGGAGTTAGTTTCAAACAAGCCAAGGATCCATGATTCATCATTCATAACATTGAATGAGGAGTTTAGTGCAGCCATTCTGAAGAAGCTGCAAGCAAAGCTCAAGGATCCAGGTAGTTTCACAATTCCCCGCACTGTCGTTAATACTAAATTTAAGAAAGCTTTGCTAGATTTAGGAGCAAGTATTAACTTGATGCTTTTATCTGTTTTTAATGCACTTGGAGTCAATAATATACTTGTGCCCACTAACATTACCCTGCAGCTAGCTGATAGATCCCTTACATATCCAAAGGGCATATTAAATGATATCTTAGTCAAGGTTGGATCATTCATTTATCTAGCTGACTTTGTAGTCTTGGATATGGAAGAGGATAAGGATGTCCCTATCATTTCGGGTAGACCTTTCTTAGCAACCTGTGATGCTACCATAGAAGTGAGGAAAGGGGCTGTGACTTTGCAATTTGATGGAGAACAGGTGGCATTCAACATCTTCAACAACATGAAGTTCCCTGCAGAGATGCAGAAGTGTTTCAAGATCGATGCTATGGAAGAGACTATTGAGCAAGTCTCTTCTGAGGTAATAGAGTCTGATGAATTTCTTAAAATACTAATTGATGTTGAATTGGATACAGAACATACAGATGAGACTTAGCCATGGCATGGCAAAGTTACTTAGATCGCTCTCCAAAGTGGCCGCATAGAAGTCAACCAGTAGAGCTGTTGGATTTAGCCAAGGAAGGCAAAACTTACAAACCTTCTTTGGAAGAACCACCAACTCTGGAGATGAAGCCACTGCCTGCACATCTTAAGTATGTATACCTGGGAGATAAAGATACTTTGTCTGTGATCATTTCAGCATCACTGACTGAGACAGAGGAAGACAAGCTGATGAGAGTTCTGAGGCTGCACAAGGAAGCTATTGGGTGGACCATAGCTGATATCAAGGGCATCAGTCCTTCCATCTGCACTCACAAGATCCTACTTGAAGAGGAAGCAAAGCCAAGTATAGAAGGTCAAAAAAGGTTAAATCCAACCTTGAAGGAAGTAGTCAAGAAGGAGATCATCAAGTTCTTGGATGCAGGGATCATATGCCCTATATCTGATAGTAATTGGGTGAGCCCAATCCAGTGTGTTCCAAAGAAAGGAGGGATGAAAGTGGTGAAGAATGATCAGGATGAACTCATTCCAACCAGAGTGGTCAATGCTTGAAGAGTCTGCATGGATTAGAGGAATCTCAACAAAGCCACCAGGAAGGATCACTTTCCACTATCATTCATTGATCAGATGCTGGACAGACTAGCTGGATATACCTATTATTGTTTCTTGGATGGATATTCAGGATACAATCAAATAGCTATTGCAGCTGAAGACCAGGAGAAGACCACATTCACATGTCCTTATGGCATTTTTGCTTTCAGAAGGATGCCATTTGGTCTGTGTAATGCACCAGCAACATTCTAGAGGTGTATGATGGCTATCTTCTCAAACATGATGGAAGATATCATTGAAATTTTAATGGATGACTTCTTTGTGTTTGAGAAGACTTATGAAAAATGTCTGGAAAGCTGAGTAAGGTGTTGCAGAGGTGTATTGAGACCAATCTGGTCTTGAAGTGGGAGAAATGCCATTTCATGGTGTCAGAGGGCATTGTTTCTAGGCCACATGATTACTGAGAAGGTCATTGACGTTGATTGAGCCAAGATAGAGGTGATAGAGAAACTCAACCGACCAACAACACTTCGTGGAGTGAGAAGCTTTCTTGGCCATGCAGGTTTCTACAGGAGATTCATGAAGGACTTCTCAAAAATATCTAAGCCCTTGTGTAATCTTCTGAAGAAAGATGTTGCATTCATCTTTGATGAGTTCTGTTTGAAGGCATTTGAAGAGCTCAAGGGGAAACTTATTTCTGCCCTTGTGATAGTCACACCTGATTGGACTCAGCCATTTGAAATAACGACTGATGTCAGTGACTTTGCAGTGGGAGTTCTGCTAGGTCAGAGGAGGAACAGAGTGTTGCATGTTGTCTACTATGCAAGCTAGACTCTGAATGCAGCCCAGATCAACTATTCAACCACGGAGAAAGAGATGCTGGCTATAGTGTTTGCTTCTGACAAATTCAGATCCTATTTGTTGGGGATGAAATTCATAGTATACACTGATCATGCAGCCATAAAGTATCTGGTCACAAAGAAAGATTCAAAGCCAAAGTTGATTGGGTGGGTTTTGCTACTGCAAAAATTTGACCTGGAGATCAGAGACAAGAAGGGCATCCAGAATCAAGTAGCAGATCATTTGTCAAGGCAAGAGAATGCACTAGAAGATCCTGAGCCAAACACTGAAGAATTTCCTGATGAATGACTTTGGCATGTGACAGAGTCACTTGCCAGAGTGTTTGAACAGAGGCAATGGTTTGCTGACTACGCTAACTATGCTGTCTCTAGGATCATACCTGAAGGACATAGCTGGCAGCATTAGAAGAAGTTCATCCATGATGCAAAGCAGCACTACTGGGATGAACCTGTCTTATTCTAGAAATGTGTGGATCAACTGATCAGACGATGTGTACCAGAATCAGGCACACTTTTAATTTTCGTGAAGTGCCAAAGCTCACCCTATGGAGGACATTATAGAGGCCAAAGAACTGTTGCTAAGGTACTACAATCTGGTTTCTTTTGGCCTACTTTACATAAAGATGCTAGAAACTATGTGCTTAGCTGTGATAGATGGCAGGGAACAGGAAATATCTCCTGGAGGAATGAAATACCACAGGAAATGATCTTGGAAGAGGAACTCTTTGATGTGTGGGGCATAGACTTTATGGGACCCTTTATGTCATCTTATGGTCACACACACATTCTACTTGCAGTTGATTATGTTTCTAAGTGGCTAGAAGCTATAGCAGTTCATTCCAGTGATGCTAAAATAGTGATCAGGTTCTTTTTTGAAAAAGAACATCTTTTCTCGTTTTGGTACTCCAAGAGCCATAATCAATGATGAAGGTTCTCACTTCTGCAATAGAGCTTTCACTAATCTGATGGCTAAGTTTGGCATCAAGAACAAGGCTTCTACACCTTATCATCCATAGTCCAATGGTCAAGCAGAGATGTCCTGCAGAGAGATCAAGAGGATATTGGAAAAGGTAGTCAGCAGCTCAAGGACTAACTGGTCTGCTAAGCTTGATGATGCTCTCTGGGCATACAGGACTGCTTTTAAGACTCCAATTGGCATGTCTCCATTCAAATTGGTGTATGGAAAATCATGCCACCTTCTTGTTGAGTTAGAACACAAGGCATATTGGGCCTTGAGGGAGTTAAATTTGGATCCAAAACTCAGCAGGGAGCATAGGCTTCTGAAATTGACTGAATTTGAGGAATTCAGGCAGGAAGCTTATGAGTCTTGCAGTATCTACGAGGAGAAGTCAAAGGGATTCCATGACAAGAAGCTGGTCAAGAAGCAGTTGGAGGTAGGAGAGTTGGTTCTACTCTACAACTCCAGGTTGAGGCTCATCCCTGGAAAGCTGAAATCCAGATGGGGAGGCCCTTATAAGATCAGTAAGATTCTGAGCCAAGGGGCAGTGGAGCTGATTAACCTACAAGCAATGAGCACATTCTTGGTGAATGGACAGAGGCTAAAGCCGTATACGGGAGTACACTCTGAAGGAGAATAGGACAGTCATATTCTGTCACTCCATGATCTTGATTGATACCTTCAGTACAGTTTGGCATAAAACTATAAACTGTTGCGCTACTTGGGAGGCAACCCAAGCACTTTTGTTCTAACCCTATCTTTTGTAGTATTTTTGTTTTGCAGGTAATTTTCCAGCCTAGATGAGAAGCCAGAATCCCATGATGAGTGATGCTCAATATTTGACGAATGTCATAAAGAGGAACAAGGGAAAGCATAATCACTCTGAGATATAGGATAGCCACTTCCAAAAGTCAGTTTCTAACTTGCGGAAATCATTTGACTTTTCAAAATGCAAGTATGTTGGCCTTTGACTTTAGGAAGCGGTCTTGACTCTAAGTTTGGGGGGGAGGGAAATGACCGTGCTGCAATAAGTATTTTGGCGGCTAGAAAGAATCTTTTGGGTGTATGAAAAGACTGGGCATGAGGAGTTGTTGCACTTTAACTCTGAAACCGTACCTCCCCACGTCCCAAAGCCCTTCATTACTTCCATCTCTTCTGCCACAAAGCCTGAACTCCATCTTCTACGGCACTCTTGCTCAAATAACTTTCTATCTTATTTTTCCAAAGCACAACCATCCCCTCTGTTTGTAAACAAATCAATTCCCAACAGTGATCGATGGCACCCAGAGTCAAGCAAACTGCAAGAAAAAGAACCCTGCAGATTGAAGGGCACGAATTTCCATGGGTTCAGCTGGTGTTGCCATTGGTGCCCATCCCGGATTCAGACGATGATGAAGGAAATAGTGTGGAGATCGAAAGATGTTTGAATGAACCAAGGGAATGGAACCTCTTTCTCACAAACAAGGCATGTGAGTTTTACAAGGAGAACAGGAAGCAAAAGGCTATTATTGAAAGGAGACTTCTCAATGAAGGACATCCTTCCACATACATAGAGGATAAAGGCTGGGAAGGGCTGTGAAATCCTGACACTCGCCCTCGATTGCTGCCTATTAAGGAGTTCTATGCTAACTTTGCTGGAATTGAAGGCGAGCGATGCTACATCTTTGTTCAAGGGTTTACAGTAGAAGTTAGTACTGAGGCGATCAGGGAAGTTTTGGGATTGCCTAAGGTGAACAATGACTGGAAAACTGATGTTGCTAGTCTACCTATGAAGGAAGATATATGGGATTCCATCAAGAGGGTCCTCTGCAATGATCATAAGTACACCAACTGGACCCTGGATAAGCATGGTAACCCTAAATCGTTCGAAGCAAAGCATCTCAAAGAGCAACACAAGAGCTGGTTCAACTTTGTGTGCACAAATCTCCTACCCAGCAACTCTCAACAATAAGTCACTTTTGAAAAGGCATTGCTGGTCTATGCTATTGTCAGGGATGTCAAAATAGACGTCGCTCCAATTCTATGTCACCAAGAAGACACAGAAATTTTGGTTCTTTCCAATTCTGCTAACTATGCTGATGGATCGTGCTGGGGTACATTTTGGCCCGAGAGACAAGAAGGTCAAGTTGCCTCTGCCTTGGCATGTAGAACCACAAACACCACTGCCACCACTTGTTGGATTACACTATCCCTTAGTTCAGGAGAGCCACCAGGGGAGTCATTAGTTCTCTTTTTCTCTTTCTTTTTCTGTTTTGTTTTTCATGATTTTAGTTCTGTGTGTCTGTTGCTTCTCTTCATCTCCTCTACCATTTTCTTTTTAATCAATATTGAGGGCAATGCTGGATTTTAAGTTTGGGGGATGGTGTGAAGAGAATTAACCGTGTCTAGGAAGTATAATTCTATGTCAGTCTATGTCTCTGTTTTTTCTGTCTGTTTGAGTCTTTGTTTTGGGCACTTGCCCTATTTTTTCTGTTTTTCTTCTCTTGTTTTTTTTTGTGTCCGTCTCTATGATCAAGTCAGTTCAAGTCGTTCTATGTGTACGAAAGTAGAAAATGCATGCTTAGTAGATAGTTAATTGTCAATGATGAAAACAAACTAAGTCTCAAAACTTTGGCTGGACACTTGTTTGAAACTGCCTTGAGCACTTTAGAAACTTAATTCCACTTCCTCATGTCACAAAGTCATTTACCAAAGTGTTGCTCTGGACTAAAAATGCTTAAAATTGAAAAATATCTTGCATTTCTGTGATATATACTGGAGCTCACTTGTTTGTTAACCTGGGGGGACTCTAAACCTGGATAGAGATTAAGGCAAACCCTACGCATTGTGGCAGCCTTGATTCGAGCCCATAGTGGTTTGGAATAGCCTGAAATACCTGGGAAGAACGGAAAGTAGGAGGATTAAACTTGGGGACAAGCAACTCTTCAAGTTTGGGGGAGTTGATGAGTGCATTTCGTACTATGTTTTAGGCATACAATTTACCGCTTTATGCTTTAATTATAGGTCAATTAGTTAGGTTTATATAGTTATAGGATAATTTGTTGACTTGTGGTTGTCTAGGGACCGAAATGCAATACGGGCAGAAAATGGGGCAAAATGTGGCGAATTGATGAAATTTCGGGTCAAATTGGAAGAAGCTTCAGGGACCGACGTGCAGTGGCTGAAACTTGGTACTGAAACAGGCGGGAAGAAGGCCAAATTGGAGCAAACCTTCGGAGCTAAGGAAGAAGAGCTGTTGGTGAAGAGATGTTGCTGATATCGGTAGAAGATTAATATGCCTTAAAACTGAATTCATCAACTAAATCTCTCCTAATTCTGATTAGAGGTAAGAGGGAAGTTGGGAGAAGTATGGGTCTCCTCTCTTTTACATAAAACCCATCGAGTAAAGAGGAGACCAACATGGCTAAGCAAGATCTCTCCCCCAACCTCTATAAAAGGCAGCAGCAGCACGAAGACGAAGTTGTTCGGCAGGAAAAAACTGAGTATAACTCTAGGAGGTAGACTTAGGGATGTCTCTTGGGGAAGTGAGAAGCTGACTCTGCGAAGTCAGCTGCATTTAATCACACTCCTTGACTTTACTCTTCCCCTGTTTTCTCTCCTTTATGTTGTAATCAAGATGAAGTCTCAACATCTGAACTTTGTGGTATTTGAGCTTCACCATGAGTAGCTAAACTCATTGCTAGGGTCTAATCCATCTACTCTATATAATTATGTTTTTATTCATGCTCTTGGATGATATTTGTATGTTTAGTTCTAGAGATTAAATTATCCTTTTAGGTTGAACATGCCATTCAAACTAATTGTGCATGCATGTGGGGGGAATTCTAGAAGGATAACTTCACTTAGAACGTATAAAATTAACCGGTGACAAGGGGGTAACAGTCCAAGGTTTCAAACAACAACAAAAGTTAGTTGTTTGGCATGAGGCAATCATAAGGGCTTAAGATCTTAATGGCTTAGTAGTAATTTCGAGTCGACAATGGAAGTTAATTTACTAATTACTACTAGGACTCCTGTTTGAACGATCGGAAGTGACCTTACAGTGTTTATGTGCCTGATTGAATACAGTTTTATACCACATAGAGAGCTAAAAGAATCAATACATATGAATATAGAGTAGAGTGGAAGATGACCCTAGGCTGCCATCACTTTGTCAAGTCACTTACTCACTTGCCAATATGCTGTTTTTACTTCTGTTTTGTGTTTTGGTACTGGATCGCAATTTTCGTTTAGTGTTTTCCGTCTCTGTAGGATCGACCATTCTTATCACTTTACAAGTTTTAAGTATGTTTATTTTGGTGGTCTCGACACCCATCACTAGGCGTGCATTTCGTGCTATGTGTGATCCTTTGCTTTTAATTTGTCTTTGTTTTCTTCTGGTTTTTTTTCTTTCTTTAATGTTTTACTAGATCCTCAGCTTGGGCGGTTGCCAGGGTGACTTTTACATGAAAATGATAATAACTTTTTTATAAAGTATAAAAAAAAAATATAGAAAGATAAATTCTTAAAATGTGTAGTAATACATCTATCCAGATTGAATCTTGAACATTAACCTAATCTCTTATAGGTTCTAAACAAGTTTTTTAACGGAAATTTTTATTGGAACACTTGTTTAAGAACCAACAATTGTAAAGAGCAATTATACAACTAATACCACTAATTAATTGAAATTAAAAATCTCTAGCCTTGCACCCTACTAGATCTTAGCTTCAAATTTTCTATCGCTAAACCTGAAAAAATATACAATTAATAAAAATGAACCTCTTTTTATAAAAACAAAATACTATTATGTATACAATTAAAGGTTCATGTTTTAATTGACTGCAACACTTGGAGTTATGTTAGAAAAATTTGATGGTTTAGAGTCATTCTTGCTCGAGCTTCAGAAAAATTAAAGAGGGAGAATATCTCTTTAAATCTTGACAATCCATCATCAGACTTGAGCATTATTAGATTGTAGTTGCTACCAAAAAAAAATTGTTGTTGCATTTTTATTTTTCATTATATATTTTTCTGTTGTCAATGAAAAATGACATATACACTGAAACTCGTTGTTGCTCATTAACATCTTCTCTAGCATCTTCCTGTGCCATTCTGCTTCTTAATTTTTGTTTACTTGATTCTGACAGTGTTGATGTCACTGATTTTGGCAAATTGTTGATGTCAATGATTGCGATACGAATGAGAAGACATTAATGTTTCAACTGCACTAATTAACTAAAAGGAACATATTTAAAATTTCATCGACTATTTTTGTTGATACAATGTTTGTAGATTTCTTCCTATAGAGAAAATAAATAAAAAATTGATTTTGAGATTTGAAAATGTTGCAATATAATGATATATAGGATTTTGAAAATTAATAACGAAAGATAAATAATAGAGTAATTTTAGGAACAACTGCTTTTAATAAATAAATAATTTCTTTTCTCTTTTGTTTTTAGTGCTTTAGTTTGGGCGGGAAATCTTCTTCTATATAGCTGTCACGTGATTTAAGTGGAAACTGCTTTCAATCGGTGAAAATAGATTAATAATCGTACTTTTAATTATACTATCAGATTTTCTTGTCCATCGCCCCCTTAAAAGTGAATGAACTTGAGTGGTCTATATTTGTAAAAGGTAATGTGATCGAATGACCTATTTAGTATTTTATGCAATGAGATGGTCACAAGTGTACGTTTATTACGACACACTTCTAGAAAAAAGAAATAACACCATTAATTGTTTCTTCCAAAAAAAACAAAAACAAAAAATCTATGTATATATATATATATATATATTAAAGCAGGCTTTTTAATCGCGTGTCGTCCAAGGAGCAAGTTTAGCTAATTGTACCACGTGTCGTCACCAAAATTCTTCTTCATTAAACAGTTAAAAGTTTATTACTAATACGTAAAATTGTTAAATTGAATTAAGTAATTAACCAAAAGTTAATTTCGGAAAAGTAAATATCACGTGCTTGGTAATTATTGACAAATATATGGTATAATGAAACATTAATTATCAAATTAATAATTGTATTAAGAATACAATTTGAAACTAAGTATGGATACATTAAATGTAAATTAATATTTTTCAGATGATTTTGTTTGATATATTTTCCAAAAATTAAAAGATATTAGTTACCAAAATAAAAATAAAAATAGTAAGGGGTTACCAAGGGGGGTTGGGGTCCACTAGGGTGGCTTTTTTAAAAAAAAAATAATTACCAAAATAAAAATTGTTACCAACAACTATATTACGAATACAATTCGAAACCAAGTCTGGCTACATTAAACTTATTTTAATATTATTTCTTAGATGCTTGGTATATTTTCCATAAACAAAAAAAGACTACTTACCCAAACAAAGAGATTATTTACCAAATAATTAAACGAATACAATTCGGAACTAAGTTTGATTACATTAAACATAGGTTAATAATAATTTTATGATGATTCTATTTGATATGTTTTTCAAAAAAAAAAAAATGTTAGTTACCAAAAAAAATATGTATATGTATATTATTTACCAAATAATTATACTACAAATACAATTCAAAACTAAGTCTGGATAAATTAAACGTAGGTTCGTATTAATTTTCAGATTATTTCATTTGATATATTTTTCAAATTAAAAATAGATTAGTTACTAAATAATTATACTACAAATACAATTTGTAACCAAGTCTGTATACATGCAATATAGGTTAAAATTATTTTACAGATGATTCCATTTAATATATTTTTCAAAAATAAAAAGAGATTAATTTTAAAAAATAAAAAGAGATTAGTTACCAAATAATTATATTATGAATACAATTCATACCAACTCTGGATACATTAAATGTAGACTAATATAATTTCTCAAATGATTTTATTTGATACATTTCCAAAAATAAAAAGAGATTAATTAATTACCAAAAATAAAGAGATTAGTTACCGAATCATTATATTATGAATACAATTCAAA